GCGTTTTTGACATTTTTACAGAAAAAAAGCAAAAGGCCTAAAATTATTTCATGGTATTCGAGCCTTTTAAGTGTGTCCACAGAGTGCTTGAAAAAAGTTAATATAATGTGGACTGAAAATCCATGGCGGGAGATCAAGCGAAACATCCGACCCACGACGGGTGTGAAAAACACTGCTTTTCGCCGCGGCTTCTTTAATAATTCATAAGTCGAGAACAAAAAATCCGACGAACTTGCGGTTTGTGTCGACTGCGGTTTTAGAAACGGCGCCATAACATATATTTTTTTCATCGAAATTAAAAATTCGACCCTTTTTGCCTGCACGATTTGAGATGAAACCACCCATATATACAGGGTGTTTATATATATATATATATATATATATATATATATATATATATATATATATATATATATATATATATATATAGAGAGAGAGAGAGAGAGAGAGAGAGAGAAAGATACGTATATTCACGTAGAAACGCGCAATAAAAAAAAAGTCAAATAAATGGTGGACAGAAATAAAATTATGCGAAAATATGCGCAACACTCATAAGAATGTGTTACGAAAGGAACATTTACAATACGGCAAAAATACTTATTAAAAAAGCCTGTTACCAATTTCTGTGCATTTAGTTTCTTTGTGTTACTATTACAATACAAGCGCGCCACTTTTTTTGACGGATATTGCTTCGTTTCTTTTTTTTTTTTTTTAATTACCCCTTGTAGGCTTTTTAGGGCCGCCAGCGATACGAACATCGATTTTCTTGCGTTGGCATAACGATATAGTTTCAGTTCGTACGATAGGGTCCAATCTTCTGCATTACCTTCTTCTGCTCACAAGCCCGTTTCGACGACACGCACGCTTAAAAAAAGAAAAAAAGGGGCAAAACAACAACGACTGACTAGCGCGTAATCGTGTTAAGTGGCATATCCGCGTTCGATAGACCGATCTCACTATTGGCGACGTGCGTGATCGAAAGTGTCGCTTTGGTTGGCCTGCTACGATTGGCCAAATGTTGACTATTATGTCAAAAACGGATTTCTTATCGACAGAAATAAAAGTAATGTAAGGACTTCATTTTTTTGACGGTTTTGGCAGTGTTGGTTTCAGAGCGCAATGATTTCAAGCTTCCACCATGTTCATTTCAAACAGCATCGAACATGTTGTTCGCACGATAATGACGTCACGAGAGGGAACCATAGGAGGGCGCCACTAAAACATCTCGCCGCTAATAGCCAGTTTCGTTGGGCCACCGCTGCCGGAATGCATACTTGGAACCGCAGTCTTTCTGCACGCGCGAAAACCCCGCTGCAAGTCTCCGCGAGCAGAGCACGAGGTGACACGAGCGGTCTCGTGCGCTGGCATCTGCCTCCTGTAAACTATTAGCGGTGGGATGTTTTGGTGGCGCCCTCATTTGGTTCCCTCTCGTGACGTCATTAGCTTGCGAACAACATGTTCGATGCTTGGAATCATTGCGTTCTGAAACCAACACTGCCAACACCGTCAAAATTGAATTTCTTACATTACTCTTATTTCCGTCCATGAGAAAGCCTTTGCTGACGTCATAGTCTGCATTCGGCCAACCGTGGAAGGCCGACCACGGCGACTCTTTCGATCAATTATGGCGGCGTCAGGCATGCGCTGAATACTTAGTGTGATTGGTCTATCTCTGCTGCTCGTTTGCCTGTTGGGACGCGGGCCCAGGAGTAATGACGCGTGAAACTCGTCTGCGTCTGCTGTGCTTACCGCATCCTCATTTCCGGTGCTTGATTTCCGCTTCGGGACGCCACGACGAGCGCACTTAGCCGTTGGACGCGATCCTGGTGGTGGCGCAGTAGCGGAGGTCTGTGAGGCAGACGCCTGTTGTATTGGGCAAAAGATCGAAAAGAGGCGCTCTCTAGAGGCCACATCGTGAACTAACACCGTGTGGCATACGAATCCTCCGGCCGCAGGCATTGGTGCATTCGCTGCCACGGAAGACGACGACGCAAGGCTCGTGAAATATACGTAATATAAAATATTATTTTTTTCTAAACGCATGTTGGTAGAAGCAAACTAGTCCCCTCCTGCGTTCAATGTCATCGAAGATTGGAAGACGAAACAAGCACATGTAACGAGAAAAGAGTCAAAGTACAGGCTAGCTGGTGGAAGTCAACCATTTCGTCGTTTACCCTGAGACTGGTTTTTTTTTTTGAAGAGCAGAAGTACTTCTGCTTACTTCTGCTCTTCAAAAAAAAACCCAGTTTCAGGGTAAACGACGAAAAAGCACATGTGTGGTCACGCGCGTGCGCGCCGGGCCAGCCTCGTCGTGTCGGCCACGCGTGCTGAATCGTGCGTGGCCGGCGCGGCGTCCGTGTTTTTCTCAACGGTACACAAAACACGCATTTCACTTTTCCGTTACCCTGTCTCTTGCTACAGTCATGGCCGACATCGAAAGCAAACTGTGTCTTGTTGCAGGAATGGACGTGCTCAACTGCGATCATGTCATCGAGTGCATGCATGCGTTGCACCAGAGCCGCGGCGGCGGACAGTGTCCGCATACTCGCGTACGTGCTGCAGTCCTCCGCGCTGCATATATATACCCGGTTTAAAAATATGCTTCGAGCACTACGGTACGTAGCAAGGGCGCGACATATATCGCTACAAACAAATATGCAGCGGGCGCGGAAACGATGTGGCGTACCCTAGGCGAATGCTGGCGACGGAGTTGTTTGCCACACAGCAGTTGTTTGTGTTGATGATGATGATAATGAAACTGCGCCTTCTATATATAGTTCGATCTCCTCGCCAATACTGTAGAGGTCGCGCTCGGCGGGCCGGTCTTTCACCGGATAGCTTATGCGGCCACGGTTTTGAGACGCGCTACGATGATGGCGACTCTTGCGTCAGCTCGTCTCACTTCGGGCAGTTTTCGTAGATCGTTTTCGCCGTCCCGCAAGGCCCTCCGCAACCCCGCTACGATAGCGGGAACTCCACAGTCAAGGCTATCGGCGCGCAGGCACAGTAGCAACTTCTTCGTTGCGGAACGCTTAGCGGAGCGGGCACGCGGTCTACGAAAACTCCCTTTTGTCCCAACTGAGAGGATCGCGGCGTGCAACTAAGTGCTCTAGAGAGCCTGGGAACAACTCGATCCACGGACAGCTCCTTTCGCAGATGGGTGGCTCACGCGCATAAGCGCGTTTCGGCGTATCGAGGGCAATAGCGGGCGATGGGACTGAGCAATGCTCCCCAGAGACGCGCTTATAACTCCGTTCACTCTTAAAGGGATACTACAACGAAATTTCGGCGGTCATATTTTGGTCTATATGTGTTCACAGGAGCAGTATCACATCGAACATACCAATATCTTGTTAAAAAGTCTCGAAAAGAAATTTTAAAACGAATTAAACGATTAGCAAAGAGCACCTGGTGGATGTCGCTAACGCCTCGCTTGTAATGCTCGTCTAGGAACCTTGACAGCTAGTAACGGAGATTCTCTCGCCTTCGGCCACGACGAAAGAAAAGGGGAAGGAGGAACTCCCCTCTTCCCGAGAATGCCTTTTGTGTGTCGAAAAAGTCGCTATTGTCCCCGTACAAGGTTATAGAAGATTAACCCGTCACTCAAAATTCGTACAAAAGCAGCCGCTTCGGTGGCTGAAACGACTTGGCCATCCTCTCGACGTCAGCCTCGCCGTAGCTTTGCTCGTCCCGAGACGACCTACGTCACGATTGCGTTGGATGTCACGTGGTCTCCGCTGGGCCTTCTCCGAGCGCTTGCCAGAGTGGGCCGTTTATTACGAAAAATACAGCCACCAGGCTCAAGATACAAACGTGCGATTGTCGTTTACGGATATTGTAGATCATATTCGACCTTTTTTTGAACACGACGTGAAGATTTCAAATTTCGTTGAATTGTCCCTTTAAGCTGAGACCTGAAGCTCCGCCTTCATCGCGAGCCTGCTGACTTCCGCAGTGCTTTGGTCGCCTGTGCCTGCGCGTTCACACCCGTGTGAACGCGCAGGCACACGCGGTACATAAAACCACGTGACCCTAATCGAGTAGTTGGAAATGTTGACGTTAAATATCCGATGAAGGCAACCAAGCAGCGCCAAAAAGTACACTGTCGGGGGCGCTCGTCGTTTTTTATGCGTAAGCTATTAACGGCTAAACCAATCACGCATAGGGAAAAAAATGCTCTGGACCACGCCGAATTCACCGCGCGTGAATGGTCCATCTTGATGATAGAAAACGCACAAAGACGCCAGGTGCCGTGGCGAAGCACTTTTGGCGCCGCTCGATTGGCCAATTCTGATCGTATAGACGCTTTACACACGCGCCAAATTACAGCCGCCATTGCTGACCTTCTGTTGTCTTACCGAGATGCCGAGCAACTGAAACGGTAGTTGACGATGCTCTACAAAGGCCGATGCTTTAGAAAAGGACACAGTTGGATCTAATGTGGCAATAACCTGGTCTGCTATGGTAATGATGAAATGAAATAAACGAAATAAGAGGAAACAAAAACTGAAGGTCAGTTATGGCGGCGTCCATGCACAGCTGCTGCAAAGCGTCTATAGTCTCGGCTGAAGACCGGACTTGGAGTGCCATCAGCTTCTGTGACGTAAATTGTTGGCACGTCTCGGTCACTCGGGATGCATGGACGTGGATGGGACCAATTAAGGCGAGTGAAAAGTGCAAGACACTTGGCCTTTTTTTTTTAAATTAGTGGTTTATATAACACGTACAGAAACACGACGAACACCGCGATGGTGCGCTTTTGACGCTGTCTGGTTGGTGACGCACCAATCGGTGACGTCGTCCAGGCATCGTAACAATACGAGGTAAATTACACAATTTACGTCTCGTTAATTGTGTAATTACAGACGTAAATTACAAGATAGCTTACCTGTTTTTCTTTTTTTGTGCCACCTCTCTTTCGGAAACAGACGCCTTCAACGAACCTACTGAACACGCAGAGTACAAGCCACGGAGATTTGGAGCGCTATTGTTCAACACAGTTCACGGCTGAACACTTGGCGAACGCCGGAAGTGACGTCTACGTGTACTTCCTCGCTCGAAGTCTGGTTCACCCAACGAAGTCCACCTCTTCGGGAAAAGACTACGCCGACGTAGGCATGCTCATGAGCAGGAACGTCGGTGCGAAGTGGTCGTCTTCCGGTTTTGTCGCCCTGCCGTCGTTTCTCGATACGGTCGTGCTCTTTGCGAAGACTGGGTAAGAGGGCAGCTTCCGCGCACTATATACTCCGTTTTAAACCAACTACAACCGCAGTCGATGCTACAGTGAATACCGCACATGAAGGATCCCTAGTGAATACCATTCAGAAGACTATAGGCCCGCGCGTGACGTCATCGTTTGTGGATCCCCGACTCGCCCCCTAGGCCGCAGCTTGACGAAGGTAGCCGCTGATCTCTATTGTAGTAGGACGCCATTTTTGTTATGACACATTTTGTTACTTTTTGTTAAGTGTAAGCTCTTAATTTCTCTCAGCTCAGAAAAGGCTATTTTACGAGTGATGCATAAAAATGTATTTGCACTGGTTGCGTAATTTAGATGGCAGAGTTGCGCCGGGATTCGCGTTCAAACGGTTCTTCGGTGATTGAACACGAGCCTCTGACGAAAGCGGTCACGGCGTTCGGCCCTATACGACAGCCAAGCGCTCAGACAGAAACGGAAATAAATAACCCATGTCGCGTTTTCTCCCCATTGGCTTAGTTAGATCAGTTCCCCAAAACACGGAGTGCACGTGAACCCATCGCCTCGTGCTGGTGGTCGTTTTGGTTCACTCATACATTCTCCTTACCGAGGAAAATAAATTCGGTGGTGGACGTGCCTGCCACTTTGAGCGGGTCGGGGCCCACAATCGATGACGTCATACGCAGGCCTCTTGTCTTCTAGTTGGTAGCGGTTGCATCCTGGAGTACTGGTGCAAAAGCACCGAAGAGTTACGCTTTCTCGTTAATGACAACTTGGATAGCAACTTGTAAGTCTGAGCAGAAATGTCAATGAGCAGGAACAAACAACACAAAAACGGGGCATATAAACTGTTACGACGATGACGACAAAATTCACGCGTCACTGCAACACCACGCAACTATTAAGCCTTCCCTCTCGCTCATTTAGTAGTATGTCTCTTTCCATTACTAAGCAAGTAAGCTGACAGTTCGGTGAAAGCTACGTTCTGCTTGACCAATCAGCCGTCCATCTCGTACCACGTGATCCCGCACTCCTCGAATACACAGGCGCAGAAAGCCGGGTCAGACGTTTAGAGGCAGGCGGTCGATTGGACAAGCGAGCGTGTAGCTTTCCTAGCCCTATAAGCCTAACGGGTAGCTGATCATCATTAATGCGCCTCGTACTCTGACGCAAATGGCAGCCGCGTACGTTAAAACCAGGGCGTAACTCCGACGCCGGCCACGGAAGGATAATTACGTAGCGTGCAAGGGCACGGCAAGACTTGCTTCGCGCCGGAAAGGGTTAAAATAGAAACTCGGTAGAAAGTGGACATTATTTAGCTCCGCTGGTCCCTAGACTGACAGCGCAGCGGAAGCTACTCGCTCGTTTGAACAAATCACAGATCCATCTTTCGCCAGGTGATACCAAGCTCCCGCCCGTTACCTATGCGTGGAGAGTGCGGCAGGGGATGAAATGAAGGCCGTTGATCGGTTCTGCGAGCGCGTAGCTCACACCACACTGTCTGCTTACGGGTGGGTGAGCGGGGCATTAGAGGATGCGGTCATTCCGGTGGAGAGAGAGGAACACAGGAATCGAGGCAACTTTCCTGTTTGCCGACACGAGCTGCAAAGGGGCGGCAAGAGCGAATCTTGCGACCTTGTGTGCACTCCGTGCGTGGTTACGCAAGTCGACGGCAAGGGGGGGCAAGCGTCGTGGAGAGAGCGTTCGAAAACACTGGAGGGGTTCGGGCGACGTGGAGAGCGCGCGCGTACTTCAAAATCGGAGCGAGGCTCGAACGTCGTATCAGAAGGACTGGGAGACAATTAAGGGGATACCGAAGCGGCCGGGGGAGCGGATCGTTGGGGTAGCCGCTGGAGCGACAAGTGGTCGGACCTACCCAAGAGTCGGTGATGACGGACGTCGACTCAGCGGTTCGCAAGCATTGATACAGCTCTTGAAAGTCGTGAGTGAGCACCGATAATTTTTGTACGGGGCGCGAAAATCTCTGTGAAACTATATAGAGGGGCGGATTCATAGCGGGGGGGGGGGGGGGGGGGGGGGCGGGGGGGGGGGATACCCTGACTCCCTTCTTGAATACTGCATGTGTAAAAATTTAGGGCGTGGAAACGGGAAAGGGGGGGGGGGGGTTCTTAAACATATGATACGCTTACCAACACCTGACCCCCCCCCCCCCCCCCCCCCCCGCCCCCCCTCAAGAGATATCTACGTTTTGTTCGATACATTGTGAATGTTGGTGTTTCTTTACGTTCCCACACTTACCGTATAAGGTGTTGCATAATAGCGAGTTTTAGTAGACCGTGTTTCCCGCTCCGCTGAGCCCCTCCGCTACCCGGAACTCTACAGTCAAGGCCATCGGCGCGCAGGCGCAGTGGCGGTTTCCTCGTAGCGGAGGGCTAGCGGAGCGGGAGACACGGTCTACTAAAACTCCCTAATAATTAAGTATCGCTCTAGTTTTGACGCCACGTTCTTTTGAATTGAGTTTAGTTATAGCTTATAGGTGACGTTATCTGAATTTGCGAAGCATTTTATGTTGATAGCCCTGATTGGCGAGGCTCCGAGGCGAATTGTCGAGGCGTGTGTTTGTAGGTTGTGGGCCGCCGAATTTAGTGAGATGAGGGTTCCGCTTCATTTATCGAGGAATCACAGTGCCACGTGTTCACCGTGACTCAGAGTGTCGCGTGACACTGCGTCACCACGACCTCCCGTGACGTCACGGCATGACACGGGACGTAACAATCGCGCATCTAAATTTAGCGGGTAGTTTTTTTCCTTCCGCTTTTAGCGGGAATTCAGCGTGACGTCTGACGTCACGCTGCCACACATACAACGTCCGCCAAATTTAGCGGGACGAACATCCGCTCATTTTAGACTCGAGAGTGTTCACTGTGCGTGTGCAGTAGAGCGTGACGCGCTCCTCGGCTATCTCATACATCTGCTCACACACACACACACCATACAACTAGACACGGCGTTCGCTACAGACGTGATGGCAGAATGTTTTGCGGACGCGCCTCATGCCATAGCTTCCTCTATACTCACACAGCCTGGCAGTTCGACGACGAAGCCATCAGGGTGCCCGGTCGCAGATTTGGAGCGCGAGGATCTGGTAGCACAGAACATTTCTCGGGGAACCTGGACGTCAGCGCACAGCTTTTGCAGCGGCGAGGACCCGAAACATGGTTTTCAAACCCGACGAGAAAAGAAGCGGTAGCCCGAGGAATGCGAGAAGCACGAACGGAGATTCCATCGCTCGGGACAATTGTTTTTTGGCGCCTCGCCGCAGCGGGGCGCCCGTTACATGTCTTCCCTCTCATCTGTTGCCACCGTGCCGCTCTACCTCTTCCCTTTCCGCGGCCGCTTTTCGTGGCGATCTGCCAGGATTTGTCAGTGTAGATGAAGGATATGCTCATGCATGTTCGCAGCATCTTTGATTCATGCACATGTATGTTCGGATCATGTTTGCAGACAGCCTTTGTACTACCGATGTGACCGTTATACAAGGAAGGCCTCGGCCACTGTCTCCAGGCTGTCTCTTGTATGCGATGTATTGGCAGTGTGACCTCGGCTTAAGAGTTTAAGCATTATTGCAGCGCGTGGTACGTGGGCGGAATATGCAGGGTGTCCCCCCAATAAGTTTACAGTGTGTTTTCTTTTTTTCATCAAAAAATATTTTTTTTTTCCGGAACGAGGGGGGGGGGGGTCGACATTTTATATACGAACATATGGTTGGAACTGCCGACAGAGTACTCTGGCTGCATCCACCCACCTCTGTCGCTCGCAGGCCATGATGAGCATTCGGAAATTGTACCTGCTCGTCAGCGCCGCCTCGGCCGTCCTGACCTTGGGAAATTCAACGCCACTCTCCGAGGCCAACGAGCCGAGAAATGCGCATCTACTACGGTTCGCGAGGGAACTGCCCACACAGCGAACCGAGGAGAGCTTGAGAAGCTGCCTTGTCCAATCTGGCTTCCAAAACGTGCACTGCAACACCGAGAACGGATTCGTTCGCTGTGAGTACGCTGGTCTCTCATCTTTTACGAAATCTAAAGCATATACGAGCGCGTTTTCACACTGCGCATATGCGCATACAAGCTTGTTATTCCATCGGCGAATGATTTGCGCCTAATCAATTAGAAAACCAGCGTCACCGTCGTGCACGCTAAAATACCTGGTGAGTCTATTTCTCCTCAAAGCCCTTGGGGAGAGCCATGATCGCTGCAATCAACGAAGGGTGCTCGGCAATTTGAGACAGAAACGAAAGCTCGCCCCTCCTCAACCTTGGAATGAGTTCGGTTCGAAAAGAACGCGTTCTCGTTACAATTCTATGATTGAGACGTGTCGTTACGTGAACGTTGCGTTTGCGTATTTAAATAAAATTTTGTGCTGGATCATCTGAGGATAAAATATACCATGGAAGTGAAAATATCCACATTGGACAATGTGTCGAGCCACCACGATTACGTTTGTTCCAATTCTTTGCTTTCGGCTATCTCTGGGACACTTACTTCCCCATTCATTGAAGTAAAAAAATCAAACAATCCATAAAAAAATAAAAAAAACAAAAAAAAAACTAGATGTTTACTAAGTTCCGGCACAATAGACTACTTCCAAAAATCTCTGTATGAAACACTGCGCGCGTTACATTATGGGACCTATTTGTACATAAAAACGACTGGCATGGCTTCAATTTCGATTGCCCCGTTTTACGAAGTAGTGCATCTCAGCACAGGATTGAGATAAAGTCGCCACTCGCTAGCATTACACTCAAAATCTTCGTGAGGGCCCCGCTGAGACACGGACCTCCAGTGGCCATGTACACGTACCTGCCTAGATTTAGCAAGGACTAGGATCAAGGTTTGCCGTTCCCCATACCTTTCTAGCAGCCTGGCTACCAGTCCAGAATGCAGCATGGCTCTCCCGGGCCACGAATCATTTTAAAAGCCTCACTCTAACAAAAAAAAAATAAAAAAGTTTGTTTATAAAAGTTGTTTTGACGCCCCAAGAACCCTTTCAGCTTATAATTATAATGCAATTAAATGCAAAGGTGCAAGCGAGCTGGACAAGAATGTTTGTCCTTTGTCCCTCTTGTTCCCCTTCTCCAGGGATTACTTTCGTCAACCCTTTCAGCTCGTGAAGAACGGTTTTGCCTCAAGCATTAACGCACCCTGGCGCACTAGAAAGGCAATTAGGCGATGAAGAACAATTTTGTTTCAAAAATCAGTTTTAAAGGACCTTTTATAGGCTTTTCTTTGAAGTACCGTTGATGGCCTGTTTGCCTTGCTGCATACCCGACCCGGAGGGATAACACGGGGAGCGGGAAAAAAGCTTACCGGAAGAAGGAACCAAGCCACGTGGAACTCCTACGAGTGGGTAGCATGCCCCACGTTGGGCGCCATTGTGGTCGGTTTGCCTTGTTGCATACCCGAACCGCAGGAATAACACGGAGCCAACGGTTCCAACAACAAGAAACTACATTTAATTGGACATGGACGAGACGACGAAGAATACTAACAGCAAACCAGTGAGCACCGGCGGCGCTTGAGTGCAGCCAGCGACTGCGATCCAGCGTTGTAAACACGGTCGCGTTACCAAGCGCGTACATCACAGAGGAAGTGCTGGGGAAAGGGTATAGCTGTCTCGTAGCGACACATCGTTAAGCCGCCTGTAATCCAGAGAGTCTGACTGTTCTGTTGTTCTCCCTACGAAAACAGACGGAAGAGCCATACTCTGTCCGTATTACACGCGGCTTAACGATGTGTCGCTACGAGACAGCTACCCTTTCCCCAGCATTTCCTCTGTGATGTATGCGCTCGGCGACCGTGTTTACAACGCTGGATTGCAGTCGCTGGCTGCACTCAAGCGCCCCTGGTGCTCGTTGGTTTTCTGTTAGTATTCTTCTTAAAACATGGACAAGCCGAAGAACCCCTAAGAGTTTTTTACGACCAGGTTTTTTTAGGGTGAAGGACATTGAGACTGTGAAACAAGATGATCAGCCCAGAATTCTTCTTTCTTTGTGTACCTGCGCACAAACTCTACTGGTACGCCAGGAGCCCCATGAAACGTGCCCTGGCATTCTATCCGTATTGGTAGGCAACGCCATAGGTTTAACGAAAGTCACATATGCAAAAATGCAGTGCACTGTATTTGCTCATGGCGGGATGTCGTGAATTAAGATTGGCAAATCAAAACCGAAACTTTAACCAAAAAGGGACCCAAGATGCTTTGCACGGAACTACGTCGCCAGAATAGCTTCGATTTTGTAAGGAGTCTATGCGAAGCGCAAGTTTGTCTGCCTCTTGCACAGGGATTGTGATGACGTCAGAACGCCACACTTTTATTGGCTGATACAAAAAAAAAATAGTGGGTAGACCTCAAGGCATCTAGCATGGGGGTCTACCCACTATCCTTCCAATCAAAGCCAATCAGAACTCGGCGTCACTATGACGTGACCGCAACCCCTGCGCGAAAAGCGGACGACTTGCTCTCCTTATTGCAGATAAATAGACAAAAAAAAAAAAGATGATGCCGTTTTTTTGTTTTTTCCTAAAAAAAAAAAAAAATGTAACGAGTTTCCGTTTCAGTTTCACGGATGGAAGATTTAACGGTGTCGTTCCTCCGTTCCCCCAGAAACGAAACGTGTTGCAGAAACATCGTTCCTTGGAACGCCGTTCCGTACAACACTGACGGAGAGTACGTTTAGACATAAAAAGCGGTCTGCGCGTTGAAACCGAGCTTGGACGTTTTACCTGCTATACGTAATGCTCAGTGTCACAGCGCAGATTCTTTTAGATGTCGGCGTATCTTGGCCTCGTCATTCGCCGAGCTCCAATCCGTAGAATACATCCATTGGCCGTAACAAGCGCTATGCGGGGAAAGTAGATGCCCGAAATTTCTGATAGTTGCGGACATTTTAATATACGCAAGGCGTGGCTTGTTGTGTTCTTGCTTCACGCTTCGTAGTTCATTTTTCGGCGTTCTTATTGGCAAATGGCGACAATCTCATTGAATGCAGCGCGACCGTGAAATACTCGGATCCCGCCACCTCTAGCATTTCTTAAAGTGACTATGCGGGTAGAAACTGGGGGAGGGGAGAAGACAAGAGTGGACGATAGAACGCCGAGCTCTGGTTGGAACGATTAGGGGGTAGGCGTAAAGCTAGCCGCCTCTCTCTCGACTGCACTGGTCGAACGCGTTCGAACTCGAACGCCAAACGCCCGACACCAGTGTTTCGCGTCCTACTGCAGTGGAGGCAAAGGCAGGTTGCTTTAGGTCTATTGCCTAACAATTTAACCATTACAACCAGAGCCCGGCCATAACCTCCTACATACTGGCAAAGCCTGGCAGATCGCCACGAGAAGCGGCCGCCGAAATGGAAAAGGTGGAGCGGGGGACAACGGATGAAAGGATAGCCACGTGACTGGCGCCCCGCTGCGGCGAGACGCCGAAACACACTTCTCCCGAGCGAACAAGTGTGTTTCCGGTCCTCGCTGCTGCAAAAGCTGCACGCTGACGTCCAGGCTCCCCGAGAAATGGCTTTTTGATGCTCTGTGCTACCAAATCCTCGCGCTCCAAATCTGGGACCGGGCACTCATGGCTCCGTCGTCGAATTGCCAGGCTTTGTCAGCATAGAGCAGGCTAAGGCTCCGCGTTCCGACGTCCCCCCTCGTTTCCTCCCCTCCCTCAATTTCTGCTTACATAGAAAGCGTTGTCTCTGACCTCACTGACTGGGGAAGGTGACTGACGGTGTCTTCATGCATGCCCCCTAGGCCTTAGCGGCGGTTTCGACCACACCCCAACTGGGAACATCATCGCCACTGCGCTGGGCGTGGCCATCGGCGTCATTTGCGTCGCCGCGTTTGGATGCTGCTGCTGGACCATGAGCGGGAGGCGAAAGGTGAGTGGAGGGACTTGTACCTTCTTTAACGCAGCGTTGTTGGCGTCGTGTGCGCTGGAAAGTTAGCCCTGCAGCTTCGTCTAAAGCCGTGGTCTTACTGATAACACTCCATACAAAAGACAGTCTGCAGATACATGTCTAATGCGTGTTTCTTCTTTGTGTGACGGCCTTGCCTCGTTGATTGTACAAAAAATGAGGCCGAAATCGCTGCTTTGTACCGCTACGATTATTCTCAACTAAATCCGTTAGCATTTAGCGCGGGGATTACGACTCACGGAAGGATGGGAATTCCAACCTCGAAACGTGGTCCGCATACTATTGTATTCGGAGGGCCAATTTTTCCTCGCGTTTGTCGGCAGTTTCGCGCAAACGGCGGCGACGCTGCGACTCGGTTTTACGTTGTCGCGCATACGTTGTGCCACCGCCACGTTCCGCTCGATCCCCTCCTCTCTCGCTCCCTCGGCGCGTCACAGGAAGCGTGCCAGAAGTCTCTTTCCTTCTTGTAAAAGGGAGAGTGGAGGTAGCGAAGGAACAAACGGAGTTAAAGAGGACGGTAGAAACGGCGCCTCACGTAACTATACTTCATTTCACCTTATGTCCGAGCGCCGACGACGTTACGAGCCGAAGGGCTAATCAAATAGCTCAAAAAGCGCAACGTCATGGCGTGCTCTCTGCGCTTGATAGGACTAGCCGGCGGAGGAGCACCCAGAGAGAGACGGCAAATACCCGCTAGTCCTGTCAACTGCAGAGAGCACGCTACGACGTTGTGCCTCTTTCGCTGTTTGATTGGCTTTTCGACTCATAAGATCTGCCGCGCTCGGACCTAAGGCCAAACGAAGTATATGAAGCCCAGTCCAGGTCAAAACCACGACCGTTCAAACGAAATACGGCTGCATGCATCGGCGCAATAAATGCTCACGCTTTTAAGATTGCTTGCAGACATGTTAGAAGTATACATGTTACACGAAGCCAACATGCTTCGAACAGGCTTTGCGAGTGTTCGCAGGTACTTCTGTCGTCATGTTGCAGCGAACGCCGTGACTTTTGTGTGATGTGTGAGCGGTGTAGCTGCGGCCTGACCGTGGCGTAAAATAGCTAGTTATTTGCGAGCATGCAGTCATGCCCGGGGCTACGTCTCCGTGGGAGCACGTACAACGTGTGCATGGTTCACATTTTGCGTAGGTTGCGTTTGCGCGAATCTCACGGTAGCGCATGTAATCGATTTAGTGCGTCGAATCGGCCCATCCAAAACACATCGATTCGCAAGCCTGTCTCATCGAATCAAATCCGACCCGATCCGCTAGACTATAACAAAGATCTTCATGCAAACTCTAGTGAATTGAATCGATTGCTCGCTCAACGAATCACTATTCAGACAAGGAGGAGCACGTTAAAGACGTATTTTTATATTTTTAAATGGCGTTGAAACCACTGACTGACGTTGCCGAAATAAGTTTTTAATAGCAAAACCGCATCATTGCAAATCTGAAACGAGTTAAATCTCGTGTTTATCTATCATCATTATAAAAGAAGCAGAGGGTCTCACTTGAAAATATTGCGTTATTTCTGGATTGGCTGCTGCAGCTTCAAACAACTCAACGCAGGTGTTGCCAGCCCCTTTCGAGCCGGCCCCGATACCAGCAATTCAATTTGCAGCACCGTGCTTGAAAGGAAAAAGAAAAACAACTCGGAGGTAGTCTTGAAATAAGAAAATAACTATTTTCTTTGTCAAAAGTGCCTCACCGTTAATTAAATAAAAAATACAACCCATTAAGGTTGTTTTTTTTTTGTTAAGTGCCATGATTGAACACGTTTGCCACAAAATAAATTTTCTCTGAAAAAAAAAAAGCGCAATATTTACGCCGCGAGATACAGTTTGAGTAAGGAACATTTGTAACACCTTGGCACGTCTACACTTGAAAAACAAGTCTTTCGGAATTGTTCATCGAAACGGTGGACTCGCACAAAATAGTTTTAAGTACCTATATAAAACACACGCGTAAAAAAAAAAAAAGCAGTTACTTTTAAAAAGGAGAAAAAGAAAGTACAGCAGTATTGAGGTTACGAGAGTTACTTTCACTGAAGAACGATTCGGGGAAGCGCCTGTATTTGGGCACATCATCCCTAAAGAGAAGCACCAAATGGAACCCCGTCGAGTTAGTTATATTGAGTCTCGCGACCTAATTACTGCGCTAAACATTTCTTTTACAAGTATTTTTTTTTTTTTTTTTTTTTTTTTGCAAACGTGTTCTATCAATCACTTTAAAACATTTTTTCGGGGGTAGTTCAGCGTTCATTTTAGGGTGACTCACATAATCCTTTCGATGGAATCACAATAGACCGATCTCACCAGCTAGTTTGAGTACGCCACCGCTGCCGATATGCATCGTGAGAGCTTTAGTCTTTCTGCACGCGCGACAACCCTGCTGGAGGTCTGCGCGAGCAGACCACGAGGCAGCATGAGATGTCTCGTTAACTGGCGTCTGCCTCCTACTAACTACAGTTATGGCGGCGTCACGCATGCGTGGAACGCTTGGTAAGATCGGTCTATTGTACGAGGTAAGAAAGCAAGTTTAATTGCTCAGTGAGTGCTCTCTGTGTTCGGTCTTGTTCCAGGAAGCGGCAGCCGCAGCTGCTGCTGCAGTCCAGCAGGTGCCACACGCGTCACGGCGGCCTCCGGTCAGAGGAAACACGTCCATTGGATTCATCAACTCGATGGCGACACCGGCCACCATCGGCAGTGGATTTCACAGGCTGTGAAGAACTCATTGACAATTACACTCATTACGGCAAGCGAAGCATAGTCATAGGATATGTGAATTTTTACTTTGTTCAGTTTGTTTTCTGTATATAGTGTTTAAATGTTTCATATTTTGTTTTGGTATGCATTGTGATACACCACTGCTGTTGGTGAACATCCTCAATAAACAAACAAACAAATGAACAAACAAACAAAGCAAGCGGTTATGGATGCTGACCTTAGCTTGCACATTAAAATCAGCAACATGCAATGAGGCTAGACAGCGCACATTAAAAATGAAAACAAGAAAGAAAAATGGACATAGCTTATGTGCCTATTTTTTTCGTTCGCTGTTTCCTCTGAGGACGGATATGTTTTGACTCATTTTTATGACTCATTTGATATGTGACTTTTATTTTATATATTTATTAGTTCTCGTACACTCACGATTTTTAATTCCTTTTTGTACATATCTGTTTTTTATTTGTCCTTCTCCCCCCTTCCCGAGCACGACGGTAGCAATCCAGCGTCATTTGGTTAACCTCTTCGTCTTTTTATGTATCTAATAATAATAATAAAAAAAAAAAATTGTCTCAAAAGGTTTGGGGAGCCTTGTCAGTCTTGTACACACACATTACTAACAAACGCAGCTAGCTTTGCGCTAGCTGCATTTGTCAGTAAATCCCACTAATCATTCCACTCAGATGTTCTGACGTTCCCGCGCGCTATAGTCTCCTTCTCCTCCCTCGCTTTCTGCACGCATAGAGTCACTGACGTCTCAAGAAGCGGAGTTCCCACTGCGTTCTTTTTTTAGCCGTTAAGGCAAAATTGCAACCGCGAAATCGCTAGCAAAATCGCGCCATGTATGTATGGATGGATAGATGGATTATATCGGCTATGCCCTTTGTAACGGGCGGTAGCTTGCGCCACCTAGCCTGAGAAAATGCTTTCCTCCCACACCTGAATACGCTATTTCTTTCTCTCTACATCTCTGCAACTAACAGCCGAGCAGGGGAATGAACCACCAGGCTTTGCACACAGTCTCCAGACTTACAAAGTACCGTGTTCGGAATGTGGAAACAGCTTGTCATGACTTATATACGACCCCTATAGTATTCCTGAAACGCGATGTATATGCAATTAGTGCACAGACACGGTATACTGTTCCCATTTTCGCTCCTCACCAGTTACGGTATAGTAACTGCAGTGTTGGGAACGCCAGGAAGGTCCTTCAGTTATATCTCCTCCTACAGCGCAAGCTTTCTGCCTTCGATGATGCTCCGGCTTCTCGTTAGTCTGGAGCACTTACGCGCAGCAGCCAAACAACGACAGAAGTCAGCGAGCACGTGCTGCAGGCCGAGCGTCCGAAAGAGACACCCTTCTGCTCTCATCCTGTCACGTCGATTGAGATAGTTTCCCTGATAACGCCACACTCGCACAGAGACGCCATTTTCTTTAATATTATTGAGAGGCGGCATAAAGTTAGGTTCGTGGTGGCGGTTACGCGTTACAAGTAACTACAGTTCCTGTAACGCGATGCTTTGTTGTACTAACGCATTAACGTACCCATTACGCTTTCCAAACAGAAACGAGTAAAAAACAAAATTAATACATCTTCAAAAAAAAAGAATACTTTTAATTTTTTTTTTTTTTTTTTGTGTTAGATCAGGACTCCTTGCATTCGTCCCACACACATTAAAATTGTCTTGGTCCCACATACAAAATCTAACATTTTTAAGCCATGGCACATATGCATACTAGTAACGTCAAAAGAGTTAAACGTTTTCCTTTATAAATAAAAAAGTAGCGCGAAAGTAACGTGCACTACTTTTTATCGGTAACGGTAACACGTTCCTTTTATTTTGAGGTCACGTAGGTCGGTAACACGTTATTTTATATGAGAGTAACGAGTAGCGTATTTCATTACCTTTTTTTTTTCGGTAACGCTTACAACACTGTCAGTACGTCCGACAGAAACAGATAATAATATAATAATAATAATAATTTTAATTTGTAGAGGAGTTTTACACTGAGTGGCTTGCTTGGCTAGAACAGAAAGGCGAAAAGCCCGTACTCTTGAGCGTCTGCTAGCCAGCCCCTCGGGGCAGGAGGAGAAAAATGACCGCATCTCCACGTCGTGAATGATGTTGATTGGGGCGAAGCTCTGGTGGTGCTGATGATACTGATTTTATTGTTCATACGTAGTGGTGATGGTGCTGATTCTTTTTTTATTGTATTGCTCATAGGTAGTGCTGAGTTCCGGATTGCGTTTCGACTTCATTATTACAGCTTTAGGGTCGGTGAAATGCAGAGCCAGTGGTACGTCTCATCCTTTCTTATTGTTTTCATTCATGTCAGAAAGAGAATTAATGTGTGGTATGGAACGTGGTTATATACGCATTTGAGCATTTGACCGCAACGCCCTCTCGTCTAAAAACGTTGAGCCAATGCATGCAAAGTTTAACGCGATTATATACGCATTTGACCGCAGCGCCCTCTCCTGTGTAGACGTTGAGCGGCTACATGCAACGGTTCATCCATGACATCCCCAGCTCTTGAGTTACTACCACATCTCAGAGTCCCCCACTCGTCCCGCAGTCGTGGCCGAGTGGTTAAGGCGATGGACTAGAAATTCATTGGGGTCTCCCCGCACAGGTTCGAATCCTGTCGACTGCGCAAACATTTTTTCTTTTTTTAAAAAGACAGATGGGATGGCAATCGATGTGAGCACGGACGCCGGACGGACAAGACTAGACCCTAAGGAGCTTCGCCCCTAAAACATAGCAGAAACATCGGAGCAAGAACAACATTATGAGCCTATTAAGCACCCTGTACACGCTAGAGAAAGAGTCGCGAGAATGCGCGGCGAAGGGCGGCTGATTCTGTCCGGTCAGTAGGGAGAGGGGAACGAACAGACTAGGGGGCTGCTAAGAAGTCCCTAAGGGCGGCGGGAAGCACAGATTTGGTGTGGCACACAGTGGGCGCGAGTAGCGTACCTGGCCATGGCCGGATCGCTTCCCAATTTGGATGTAGGAGTTATGGGGAGTGCCCTTCATAGAACCGTCGAGCACCCGACATAGGAGACAAACACGAGCCACAGTCCGGTGTTGCTGAAGGCTCTGCCATCCAAGAGATTGAGGTCGAACCTCGTAGGGGGGTGCGGTGGCACGCCGGCCCAGCATGCGAGAAAAAAAAAAGGGTTCTGGTGGCTCGACGCTGCACGCCTTCAAGTCTGTGAACAAGGTGGGCCTGAGAAGGGCACCACACAGAACAGTCCTCAAGCCTATAGGCAGGAGCACGGCAGAATATAGTTTGCGAAGCGCTTCAGGTCCCCAGGCCCTCGAGGCACGGGTGACAAAGCCGAGAGTTCGGCGGGCTTTGAAACAGTGTTGGTGATATTCCGGCCGAACTACAGAGAAGAGAAGACAACTCCCAGAATAGGAAGCGGCTCAACGACCGCAACTGGGATGCCTCCTCACAGTGACTAAGTTGGATGGGAAGCAGGACGAACATTGCCGAGGCGCATTGCGGCACTTTTCTGTCGGCTTATCGCGAGGTCGTTCGTTCTAGCCCAGCAAACGACCTGATCACGAAATCCCTGGATGCCTGACACAGAGTAGGGAGTCATTACTGGGGTCAAAAAGGTGGTGTCATCTGCGTACTGGGCAAGCAGACATTCTCTAGATGTGAGCATGTCGTTGACGTATACCAAAAAGAGTCTGGGCCAAAAATGTGCCTTGGGGTATCCCAGAGGTGACAGTGAAGTTGTCAGAGACCTCTTCATGGAACAATACGCGGTGGACACGGCCAGTTAGAAAGTGGCTCAACCAGAGTGACATAAAGCTGCACACCCCGTTTTGCGCTATTTTTTTGGAGGAGGATGGAGTGGTACAGGGGATCAAAAGCAGCGGACATATCCAGTTGGATCAAGCCTGTCGGCGTACGGTTGTCCAAAGTGTTACAGACATAGTGTGCACCTGGGGCTCTATGCTATTCGGCGGGTCCAAGCCGGACAGGGAGTCCGGGAGATCGCCGCCGTCCGCGATTGTTCAGCGGCACGGCGCAGACCAATCACAAACGGCGGCGATCTCCCCGATTTCCTGTTCCGCTTTGTCCCGCAGTTTAGCATAGGGCCCCTGGAATCATCAAGCTTTTCTGGATATAGGAAAAGCTCTGATTTCCAGATACATATTTCTTTATTAGTGTGCCAAAGAAGAAAAAGTGCCAGGGTGTTTCGCGTGGCTGAAGCTGAGAGACTAACCGCTCATTCACACTGGGAGCGGATCCGCGTTCGCAAAGCGGTTGTGAACGCGGTTGTATAAAGATCCAGTGCAATTGCACGCGCACTCGATGACATCAAGTGCGCGTGCAATTGTACTGGATCTTTATACAACCGCGTTCGCAACCGCTTTGCGAACGCGGATCCGCTTCCAGTGTGAATGAGCGCTAAGTTTGGTCATAAAGTACAGGCGACATGTAGCTGTGCGTCGTTAGTGTAAGACAATTGTAAGACATGTGTTTATTGTTTGGTTGGTAGGCGTTTGGTATGAACACGTTTAATTAAAAAAGATTGAAAAGGTTTACATCGATCATTTTCTTTGCGTTCTTTGGACGATCCAACTGGCCTTTCCTTCACTCCCTTCGCGTTATCGATTCACCATTTTGACATCAGATGGCGCCAGGCTTCCACTGTGTTGGTTTGTCAGGGTTGGAACTTTGCAGGGTATCGAACGAAAGCGGAACCAAAAGCTGAACAGAAACAGTTACTTTTCCGAAAACCGGGATGGTACCGAAACGTTATAATTATTGTACCAAAGAATAATTTTTTGAGGTTTTTGGGTTATTCCCGCGTCTAGATCACCTATGAAAATTACGTCCAATTCGATCATCAACTGTTTCTCACCAGACTTTGACACTACCATTGGCCATCGAGGATTGGAATTCACTACCCCACAACATCGTTTTTATTAATGATACTACTAAATTTGCTGAAGCCATTATTTTCTCTTTATCTAACCTCCCTAGCTAGCTTACAATGTTATAATTGTGTTTACTGTTCTATCTTTTTTTTTTGTTCTATTGCCACCCCCCCTGTATAATGCCCCACGGGCCCTCATGCAATATAATTGGGTACACAGCGGTAGTAAAGAGGAGCGGATTGTATAATTGCTTAAATTATCAGGTTAATTTAGCGCTCTTCTCAAAGGGCTGGCGGTTTTTTGAGATAGCCAAATTGAAAAAA